ACATGGCTACATTTGGATACTGAGTTTGTCACTGGATCAGGGTAGGGCATCAAATACAGTAGTACCAGGTCCCTTAAAAGGGGCGGCTGGTACACTGATGCACATGTGGGGAGAAGGCTGTAAAAATTGGTTGGTGACTGCTGCGTCGTTTCTACAAGACAGGGTATGGCTGGGTGCCATTACTGTAGTGCTTGGTAGTGCTCAGAACAGATTCTCCCTGCAGTATGGAGAACTCTAACCTCTGCTGCTGTATCCCAAATTACTGGTTTCCTGGGCTGGCAGAGAATGGAGCTCTGCTATTCAAGCCATGATCTATTCTAGCAGCCTATGGAAACTAATGCAGAAGTTGGTATTGAAGTGGGGTGTTGAAAACCACACAGGAACGCAGCGCTGGTGCTCTGGAGAAATGAGCTGTGATGGGTCTGTTTCAGCTCAGCTTTCTTAGCTGTGGAGGACCGGTTACTGGGACGACTGTATCCCTTTTCTCAGCCTGCCAGGGAGGTCCAAAGGTCCCCGAGAGGCAGAAGGGAGATGCCTGCTTTTACTGTAGGGCCTCAGGGAAGGTGTCAGCCCACCAGTGTCTTTGAACCCTAAGTCTTCCCTGGACTCAAAGGTCTTAATCTCCTGTCTCGCTTACTTTAGAGGGAGGTTGGCATGGGTCTTGAGGTAGACAGAGGGCCTAATTATCTCTTGAAGGTCTAGGACAGAGCCTTTCCCTTGTACTCCAGGTCCCACCGCTTTGTAACCACAGCTCTGTGTTCCAGCTTTAGCCCAGCTGTTTAGCACATATGGACCCAAGCCCAGATGCAGTAGGCACTGGTTACGAGTCAAATGCCACCCTTCACTGTCTGCCAACATGTGGTCCCCACAGCAGAAATGCCACCTACAGGAATCTGATACCTCCCAGTCCCAGGCAGCACACACGTATCACAACAACAGAAGTTGCAACTGCATTGGCCAGGCTGGATTATACGGCCATTGCTGCTGCATGGGTGGAGCTCCTCTCCCGACTAGTCCAGCCCTGAGTCTCCACACCTTACAGTCCTCTACCAGGGCCTACGGAGACTCGGACGGTTTCCAACAGTCAAACCTGTGTCTTAGGGTGTTCCAGCTGCAAAACCTCCCCTTGGGAATGCAGCGAGAGCAGAGCGCTCTGACACTACAGAGCCCTGCTTCCCTTTGCCCTTCGCTCGCGAGATCTCCCTTAGAGAGGCTGTCACCCTGTGCCAGTGGGAGTGGGGCCACTTTCACCAGACTGTTTCCTCTACTGCGTGCTATGAGCCCACAGCCCGCCCTCAAGCTGCAGCATCTGCTCCGCGCATGGGTATCACCTGTCTTCTTCCTCTGCCCCTCCCTCCCAGCCACCATGTCCTGTGCATCCAGAATGATTCCCATTCACAGAGCATCCCTACCTTGTTATGGGGGTAGTTGGAGGAGACTTGAGACTGAGAGCAGAATCCTGGGTGGAAGAGGCTGGGGATGAGGCACTCATGGTGTATGTGTGTGTATGTGTGTGTGCGTGTGTGCGCGCATGTGCGTGGGCATGTGCGCGCGCGCGTGCATATGTGTAATTTTTATACAAGGACAGTGGGACTGGTCCACACAGGAAGAACAGAGTGAGTCGTACAATGTTGAAGGATGTTTTATTCTATTAAAAAAAGACGGAGAGAGACCTTAAAGACATAAATGGGCTCCAGAAAATTCAAAGAAGCTGGCAAGGCTAAGCTTTGTGTCAATGAACACCTTTTGAGAGTTCCCCCAAGAGCTGGACGCCCCCCTCCCCCGCTTTCCCTCCTGCTTTCTTCCTTTGTCTTTGTTGGAGACTCTGACCTGGCATTTGCGTTTATATGAAATGGGGAAAAAGTCACAGCGCCCCTCCAGTGCAGTGGCTAGTCAGCCTCAGTGCCCGGGCGTGGCCTCTCTCCCTGGATGTCTTCTCTAACTGGTGTTTTCTGCTGTGAGTGGCCTGGTCTGGATGCCAGGCTGCAGGGAGGGCCCACGCTGGCATGGTTTCTCTAGTGTCCTTTCCCCTCCCCCCTGTTGCTCCTGGACCACCTTACGACCTGTCGTGGATCTGCTCATCAGGCCCTTTTCCTGGAGGTCCCTCTGGGTTGCTCAGGCCTTGCTCAGTGGCCTCTGCACCCGTTCCTTCTAGGGCTCAACAGAGGCTGTGAGGCTCAGGCTCCTCCTCTGCGGGTGTCTCTGGAGTAAGCTGGGACAGGCAGTGAGGTAACTGTGTCCTGCTTGTCAGGCTGTGGGGTCGACGGTGTCTCTGATCGGCTCTTGCATCTGAGAATTCAGCGTGTTGCATGGGTGGCAGGAAAAGGGGGCCTTTACAAGGAGCCCCATTTTTGGGAGGTTCTGTCCATAAATTCCAAGAGACGAGGGTTCATTTAAGTGTCAGGAAAGAACCTGACAGGGCACTGCTGGGGCTGACGGCCACTACAGTGACCTTTAGCAGCCCTTCCCAGAGTTCCCTTTGGGCAGTGGGGTCTCTGGCACATGGAAACGTCTACTTCTCTCAGGAAACCCTGTTTTCGAGAGGACTGTGTGGACAAGGCTGGTTTAAGGCTTGCCTGCATCTACATGGATGCAGGTAACGCAGCCCCATCCTGGGAGAGGGCCCGCCAGAGGGCCAGACATCCTATAAAAGGAAATGTGTATGGCCTTATCCATTATTCTGGCAACTGCTGTGGTGCTGTTGCTTGGGTCCTACTGGCTATGGTCTGGGGCACAGTATGCGCTCCATGTGGTCCTCCAGATGTGGCAGGGAGGCTGGCAGCAGAGTTGGAGCCATAAGATCAAGGGATGCTGAGATGAGAGGGCAGTGTGACTTGTGTGTCCGGCTGCTCAGCTTGGGTCCCTCTGAAGAGGTTACCTAGGCACCCTGCCCAATCATGTTCCTGTAGTCCGGGGCAACTATCTGCTTTACCTCCACCATCGAGGACACGATCCACTTCACCTGTAGGGATGCGGAAGTGAGATGAGCTGTGCGACCTCAGCCCCCTCCATCCTGTACAGCAAGACAGGGGCAGCTCCCAGTCTTGGGGGTGACATATAGCTAGTGTGAGGGTAAGACAGTGACCTTGCAGGGCACAGTGTGGGTTTCGTTTTGAGACGTATAGCTATAGTAAGGGGGATTGTAGGGACAGCATAGGGATCTGGGTGAGGACCAGGTATGGGTAGAGCAGGGAGCGGCGTAAGAACATTGTGTAGGTAGTATCGAAGACAGTATTGGATAGGGTAGGTGACAACTTGGCGTGGCATCAAGACAAATTAGTGACAACATGGACAACGTGGGTATGATGGAGAGCAACAGAGGGACAGTGAAGGCGTGGTGTGAGGACAGTATGTGACTGTGGAAGGTGACATATAACAACATGAGAGAAAGCCTGAGACAGTATGGGATAAGTAGGGACGGCACGGATCATCATAGAGATAGGTTGTGGACGGTGTAGATATTGTGGGGGTGCTGGGGGGACGACGCCCACCTTGAAGAGTGTGACGGCGGCGCTGTAGCACACGCTGAGCAGGAAGAGGGTGATGAAGATGGTGATGGTCGTCCAGAGCCCGTCCAGCTCCCCGTCCTGGGCCTCAGGACACTCGTCGTCCAGTTCCAGCTCTGCACAGAGAAGGGGCCGTCAGTGTGTGTCCCAACAAGATGGAGCAGAGAGTGATTCCCTATGTGGTAGGTGAGGCTGCATGGGGGCAGGGCAGAAAGACCGTCCCGGGGGCCAGCAGACCCTCCCGGGGAAGCAGCTTTTTTTGTCCTCTCTGGGTCAGCAGCCAGAGTTCTTCCAACCATTCCAGTTTAAACCTTGGGCTCAGTCAGAAACAACAGACCTGATGGTGGCCTAGACTACATAGGACTCCTGAGCCTGGCTGGGATGAATCAGGGCTTGTGACCCCTGTAGGTAGTGACTCCGCAACCTGTCTGATCTGCTGCTGCCTGTCCCAATGACCAAGTCTGGAGGGCCATAGTGAGGGCAGGGTCTGTGTCTAGTTGCCTGGGCTTTCTAGAAGGTCCACACTAGGAAGTGAACCAAGGTATACAGCTATGGGAGAGTGGTAACTGTGTGGGATGAAGACGGGTTTGAGGACAGAGGGTCAGACTGGTTCTGTTTGGCCAGGGTTGGGGGGTGTGACTTTTCTGTGTGCTAAGGGAAAGGGTTCATGTGCCCAAGAGAGCTGTTTCATCTACACCAGCTTAAATGTGAACACTTAGGTCGTGCTTAGGGATATCCTGACACTAAGTGGGACTGGTTGCTATGCTGGCCTCCCACATGAGGTATCAGTGGTGCGCGTGCATGCGTGCGTGCGAGCGTGCGTACGTGTGTGTGTGTGTGTGTGTGTGTGTGTGTGTGTGTGTGTGTGTGTGGCGTGATTGGAGGTGCCATGTGGCTTGGGTGGTGCTCTGCAGGCTGCTTCTAACGGCTCTTGTCTCAGCATCTGTGTGGATATCTGGACAGTCACTTCTTTGGTCACAGGTCTCAGTGTCTTGGGACACAGGTGGAAGTGAAAGTCATATGGGAGGTGGTGTAGTCAGGAGTGATCATCCTATTTCAGGAGACCCAGCAGAGCTGTCTGGGCTCCATGTGTGGACAGTGAGAGTCTTTCTGTTTGTCAGTGTCCCGGCTAGTTTCTGTGGCGTTCAAGGTAGGAGGTCATGGTAGAGAGAATGGCAGTTGGATTAGTGTGGGGCTTGTGTTGAGGTGGGGTGCACTCTTTGTGTTCTTCTCTTTGGATGTTTTCGAGGGGTATCTCCCATCCCAAGACAGGGCAGTTGCTGGTTGGAAGGAGGGTATGGAGAGGCCAAACTTCCTACCCGGAGAGGGATGATCTCTGGCAAGGACAGATACACTTGCATGCCCTGTGTCTGGTAGTGTAAGATCTGTTTTCTTTCTTTGATGCTAACCTAGGCCTCAGACCCTGGTAGGACCCCACAGCCTGTGGCTGAGTCATATCATGAGCTATGTGCCGTGTAAAGAACCAGGGTAGTCTCATAGGGTCCCAGGGTAGCTCTGGGTGCTTTATTTATAGCATGAGGGGTTAGGGCTGGGTTCAGTGTTTGGTAGAACCCAGTGTCTGACTGGGCGTTTGAGCTCATTTACCCGGGGAGTGGGAGAGAGTCTTCTGTGTGTAGTGATTGCGCAGGGTTTCATGCACCACAGTGCAAGTAAACGTGTCTCCTCGCAGCCAGCTGTTAGTGTCCACAGTGAGCTTGCTGTAGAGGAAGTGGGAGCCGTCTGAGTCCAGAACGGGAGGGGTGTTCTTGAAGTCCTGCGCCAGCTCCCCGCTCCTTTCCCATTCCACGTGGATGTCTTCAGGGAAGAAGTTCGTGATCATGCAGGTCAGACTGACCTTCTTCTTGGACATCTGTTCTGGAGGTGGAGGCATGGCGTACACCTGAGGCACCCGGGGTTGCCCTGTGGGGGAAGGACGTCAGGACGAGTTACTGGCTGTCCGCGCAAGTGTTCATTCTTCTGCCCACCACACCACCCACACAGTCTGTCTGTGGCTCTCACCTCTGGGTTTGGAGATGGTTTTCTCAACGGGGCTCGGGAGGGCCTTGTTGGTGACCTTGCATTTGAACTCCTTGCCGCTCAGCCAGTCCTGGTGCAGGATGGGGAGGACGCTGACCACGCGGTAGGTGCTGTTGAACTGCTGCTGCCGGGGCTGCGTCTGAGCCGTGTGCACTTCTGCATTGTTTACGAACCAGTTGAACTGGACGTCTGGTTCATCCTCGCTCACGTCCACCACCACGCATGTGACCTTGGGGGTCAGGGAGATCGTGAGCGTGTCTTTGGGTTTTGGGGGGAAGATGAAGACGGATGGTCCACCGATGCAAGAAGCTAGTGAAGAGAGATAGGATGGGTCAGAAACCGGGCCTCCCATGCGTGACAGTTTGTGACAGTCATTTCCTGGGACTAAAGAAGGAGACTTAAATGACTTACATGAGCACTGGGGACCTGAGCAGACTCTGGGCTCTGCAGAGAAAGGAGGGAAACAAAGGGCATTAATAGAGTCAGAAGGAGAGAGGGCATCAATCTGGGGAGGAGAAGGGTGACCCTAGTGTGGGTGGAGGTCAAGCTGCCCCTGGGCATGATACAGATTGGCAGGTTGAGACCTGTGTCCATGATGTTGCCCTCCCAGAAGACCCCCTACCTGGGTGTGAAGAACCTGAGCAGAGGGTCCCGGGAGGCAGACACAAAGGAGCCCTGCACCCCTGATCGGTGTCGCCTCCCTGCCCGGGTCCGTCCAGCTTGACTCTTCTGTGCAGAGGTTGACCCCAGCCTGACCTCCCAGTAAACCTTTATCTCCCCTGGCTGTCCTCTCACCGATTCTCTTGTTCAAGTTGGTGCTGCTGGCCAGGTGGGCTACGTTGCAGGTGATGGTCTGGCCGGGCCAGGTGCTGGAAGGTACAGTCACTGAGCTGCTGAGGGAGTAGAGCCCAGAAGGCAGGACCGACGGGAAGGTGTGCACGCCGCTGGTCAGGGCTCCAGAGTTCCAGCTCACGGTCACTGGCTCAGGGAAATAGCCCTTGACCAGACATCCCAGGGTCACCGTGGTGGAGTCAGGGGTGCTACCACAGGCAGGGGCCAAGGGGTAGACAGTTGGGGCTGTTGTTCCAGCTGCAAGAGAGGGAGGATGTGTGAGTGAGCTTATCAGACATGGCTGGGTCTAGGTACCAGGAAGAGCTCTGTTCTTGGCCCTACAACGGCCCTAGGCTTCTGCGAAGCGCATGTAGGATCTAGCACCTGGGATGCGGGCATCGCACGGCCACCTTGATTGTTCCAACTGTCTCAACTTAGGTCCTCGCTACCCTGGATCGCCAGGCTAGGCCTAACCGGTAGAACGCTGTCCCAAGGGTGTTTTTAGAAAGCTGGTGGATGAGATCTCCGGTATGGGTTTCTATGCTCAGCTCTATAGTCTCTTGCATTTGTGTCTTGAAGCCAGCTGTACACATCACTCAAGTTTTCCCTCAGTGGAACCTGCCTTCCCTTCCCCAGTTCTCCTGCCCGGCCATGTCGGCTTCCGCTGTTGACTCCTTGCTCCCTCTCTGAATTCTACTCATTCATTCCACTCTGAATTCATTCATTCATTAATTCACTCATTCATTCATTCGTTGTTTATTGTGGTGTCTGGCCTAATTGATGGGCCCTGTTGTCAGGTTCCATTGACAAAACCAGATTCCTAGTCCTAGTCACGCAGTCTGGGCCTTCCGGTGTTGTTGCTGAGCTGAGCAGGGTGAACAGACCCCACCTCTGGACTCTTGACTCTGATTCTGCACTGACACAGTGCCCAAGGGACCCTTTCTCAGCCTGCCTGCTACTTTGATTCCTAAATTTGTGCTCTGGGCTCCAGCGTGACCTAAGCTCTCGTTGACTCTTACTCCTTGATTCCCGGGGTTCAACACACCTGTCGCCCACCTTCCCAGCATGGGTAGCCCTGGCCTGGCCTGACTTCCCTGGACGCCTCCAACGATCCTTGTACTCTAGTTTTCTTAGTGGGGACCTAATAAGCTCAGCTCTAGTCCCCCCGCTGCCTCTTATCTCACCCCCAACCCTACACCCATCCCTGCTTTTCCCCTCCCTGGTGCCAGTGTCTCCAGATCCCAACGAAGTCCCTTTTTCTCTTTCTAGAAGCCTTGGGCCCTTGAGTTTAGGATGTGCTGCCACTCATGAGGAAACAAGATGTCAGGCTTGTGGCCCCTCCAACCCAGGTCTCCTCTCATCTCCAGCCTCCTGTCACCCTTCTCTGTAATACAACTGCTGGCGTCCCCCCCCCCCCCGCCACCCCAATCTGTACATCCAACTTCCTGTACACCTAACTGCTGGGACACGCTTGGCCTTCCTATCCTACGTTCCCATTGCTCTCCAGGGACAAAGATGGGGCTCCTGAGCCCCGCGACTGCAGCCTGTATGGTCCTTCTGAGAGCGTTACCCTTAGGAACTTTCCCTGTGCACGTTCCTACTCAGTCCAGGCCCTTCTTGTCCCTTCTGGTTCTCTCTGCAGCCAGGCTGACCACCTGCCTGCGGGTTCAGGCGAACCCTGAGTGCTTTCCCTCCCTCCCCTTCCTCCCCTTTACTCCTCCTCTTCTGTCTCATCCTTGCACATAGCCAGCCCTCCCTCTGCCTAAACCCAGCTCTCACGGTCCTCTTGCCAGACCAGCTATGGGGCAGCTGAAGCAGCAGGAAAGGTCAGATGACCGGGTCCCCTGCCGCTGTTTTCAGTACTCGGGTCTCACCCGATCCCCTCCCCAGTCCCTCAGCTGTCACCACCGCCTGAGTCATCTCAGCTCTTATGTAGGCCCAGGGGCTAATTCACTTGTACTTAACCCGCCCAGGGCATCCCTGGTTGCCCCTTCCAGACCTGCTAATTTCCTGGGGTTGATCGAGCACAATCACCTGCCTTGGTACACCGTGGCCACGCAGACTGGGCTCTCCTACACAACCACTTGCCCTGGCTTCCGCATAGCTACTCAGTTCACTTTCTCACACTCCCGTCTGCCCCAGAAGCCCAGTAACTGCTTGATCTGGTCCCCCTCCCCCCACCTTTTCCAATCACCTTGAAGGTACTCAGCCTGTTCCCCCAACTCCTACCAATCCCAGCTCCCCTGCAGTAGCTCAGCCCACTCTCGTACCTCCACCTGCCTTGGTTTTGTGGTCACTGCTCAGTCTGGTTTCCCTAGCTTCCCTCATCCGCCAGAACTCCCACCTACTTTGACTTCCCTGAGATTCACGGTCTGGTCCCACCATTCCCACCAGCCCCAGCTACCCCTGTAGCTCATTGCCCCCCAACTCCTACCTTCCTCAGTTCCCTTGTGACTACTCAGTCCGACCCCTTAAACTCCCAGTTGCCCCAGCTCCCTGTAGCTGCTCGGCCTATTCTCCATACCCTCCCTGGTCTCAGTACACTGGTAGCTGTTCAGTACGCTGAACTGGTCCCAGGTCAACCCGGGACCCTCTACATCTGACAGACGCAGCTTGCCTGTGGCTTCTCAGACTGGTGCTTCCCATTTCCACTGCCTCAGTTCCCCTGTAGGTGCCTGACCTATTCTTTACATCACTACCTATCTCAGCTCCCCTGTGGCTGAGAAATCTGGTGCCTCCTGGGGGAGCTAGAGGAGGTGGGGGTGTAGGATGCTAACCTGAGCTGCTCTGGGGGAGCAAGGGAGGGCGGGAATGTGGAGGGCCAAGCTGAGCAGCTGTGGGGGAGCTAGGGGGAGCTGGTCCTCGTAACTGTCCAGCTTGGTTCCCAACACTACTCCCATGCGCCTCCGCTGTCCTGTAACTGCTCAGTTTAATACTTCAGACTTCAGCCGGGTAGTGGTGGCACACTCCCTTAATTCCAGCACTCAGGAGGCAGAGACAGACAGAGATCTGTGAGTTCGAGACCAGCCTGGTCTACAAGAACTAGTTACAGGACAGCCTCCAAAGGCGTAGAGAAACCCCGTCTCGAAAAAAAACCAAACCAAACCAACCAGCCAAACAAACAAAAAAACCAACCAACCAACCAACCAACCAAACAAACAAAAAACCAACCCCCCCAAACAAACAAAAACCAAAAAACTTCAGACTTCTACTATCCCCAGCTCCCTGTAGCTACTCAGCAGCCCCCCATACTCCCACTTTCCCTAGATCCCCCAGGAGCTTCTCAGGTTAGCATCCTATGCTACCACCTCCCCTAGCTCCCCCATAGCTGCTCAACCTGGCCCCAACACTCCCACCTCCCCTAGCTTCTCCAGGAGCTGCTTAGCCTGGCCCCCACATTCCCACCTCCCCTAGCTCTCCCAGGAGCCTCTCAGGTTAGCATCCTACACTCCCACCTTTCCTAGCTCCCCCAGGAGCTACTCATCTGGTTCCCAGACTCCCATCTCCCCCAGCTCACCCAGGAGCCTCCCAGGTTAGCATCCTATGCTCTAACCTCCATTAGCTGCCCCAGAGAAGCTCAGGTTAGCATCCTACACTCCCACCATTCCTAGCTCCCCCAGAGCAGCTCAGTTTAGCACTCGCACCTCTTCTAGCTCCTCCAGGAGACACTCAGCCTGGCCTCCACATTCCCACCTCCCCTAGCTCCCCCATAGCTGCTCAGGTTAGCACCCTACACTCCCACCTTCCCTAGCTCCCCCCGAGCAGCTCAGGTTAGCATCCTATGCTCTTACCTCCCCTAGCTCCCCCAGGAGATGCTCATCTGGTTCCCAGACTCCCACCTCTCCTAGCTTCCCCAGTAGCTGCTCAGGTTAGCATCCTACACTCCCACCATTCCTAGCTCCCCCAGAGCAGCTCAGTTTAGCACTCGCACCTCTTCTAGCTCCTCCAGGAGACACTCAGCCTGGCCTCCACATTCCCACCTCCCCTAGCTCCCCCATAGCTGCTCAGGTTAGCACCCTACACTCCCACCTTCCCTAGCTCCCCCCGAGCAGCTCAGGTTAGCATCCTATGCTCTTACCTCCCCTAGCTCCTCCAGGAGATGCTCATCTGGTTCCCAGACTCCCACCTCTCCTAGCTTCCCCAGTAGCTGCTCAGGTTAGCATCCTACACTCCCACCTTCCCTAGCTCCCCCAGAGCAGCTCAGGCTAGTATCCTACATTCCCACCTTCCCTAGCTCCCCTAGGAGCTTCTCATCTGGTTCCCAGACTCCCACCTCCCCTAGCTCCCTCATAGCTGCTCAGTTTAGCACTCGCACCTCCTCTAGCTCCTCCAGGAGGCACTCAGCCTGGCCTCCACACTCCCACCTCCCCTAGCTCCCCCATAGCTGCTCAGGTTAGCATCCTACACTCCCACCTTTCCTAGCTCCCCTAGGAGCTGCTCAGCCTGGTGCCCATACTCCCACCTCCCCTAGCTCCCCCATAGCTGCTCAGGTTAGCATCCTACACTCCCACCTTTCCTAGCTCCCCTAGGAGCTGCTCAGCCTGGTGCCCATACTCCCACCTCCCCTAGCTCCCCCATAGCTGCTCAGGTTAGCATCCTACACTCCCACCTTTCCTAGCTCCCCTAGGAGCTGCTCAGCCTGGTGCCCATACTCCCACCTCCCCTAGCTCCCCCATAGCTGCTCAGGTTAGCATCCTATGCTCGTACTTCCCTTGCTTCCCCATAGCTGCTCAGGTTAGCACCCTACACTCCCATCTCCCCTAGCTCTCCCAGGAGCCTCTCAGGTTAGCATCCTATGCTCTTACCTCCCTTAGCTGCCCCAGGAGCTGCTCAGCCTGGTGCCCATACTCCCACCTCCCCTAGCTCCCCCATAGCTGCTCAGGTTAGCATCCTATGCTCGTACTTCCCTAGCTTCCCCATAGCTGCTCAGGTTAGCACCCTACACTCCCATCTCCCCTAGCTCTCCCAGGAGCCTCTCAGGTTAGCATCCTATGCTCTTACCTCCCTTAGCTGCCCCAGGAGCTGCTCAGCCTGGTCCCCACACTCCCACCTTCCCTAGCTCCCCCCGAGCAGCTCAGGTTAGCATCCTACACTCCCACCTTTCCTAGCTCCCCTTGGAGCTGCTCAGCCTGGCTCCCACACTCCCACCTCCCTTAGCTCCCCCATTGCTGCTCAGGTTAGCATCCTATGTTCTTACCTCCCCTAGCTCCCCCAGGAGCTGCTCAGCCTGGTCCCCACACTCCCACCTTCCCTAGCTCCCCCAGAGCAGCTCAGGCTAGCATCCTATGCTCTCACCTGTCAGACTATTCCTTCCATCACCTGTCTCAGCTCTGGCAAGGGTGCCCAGTCTTGTTTCCTGAGGTTTCAAGGCTTCTGTGACCCTTTAGGATTCCTACCAACCTGGGATCCCTGGAGGTGCTGAGTCTGGCTTCATCTTCCCTGTAGCTTCTCAGCTTGGTCCTCCACACTCCCACCTGGCCAACTTCCCTGTAGCTCTCATCCGGGTACCCCACACCCTCATCCATCCCAGTTCCCCTTTGGCTCCTCAGTTTGGTTCCCACACTCTTGCTGCTTTCCCAGACCTGCTGTGGTTGCTCAGTCAGATGGCCTATATTCTTTTCTGCCCCAGCTCCTCGGTGGCTGCTCAGCCTGATACCTTGAAATCTTAGATACCCAGTACTCCTCTGTTGTTTCATAATTACCCGAGCTCCTGGGCCTGCTGGGTCCCCACAAATGCCCGCCCTCCACAGCCCACCTGTAGCTTCCTGCCTGGTTCTTGGAGTTGCCTAGAATTCTTGCTGCCTGTCTTGGCTTCTTTCAGTTTGGGTTTGGCTCCTCTACTCCTTGTCTCACCTCTTCAAGACTGAGCATGATTCCCAAACCCCAGATATTTCATCCCCTTTCCTGGACTCCCCCGCAGGGTTAGTGACCCTTTTGGAAGAGTTTTGGATTCCTCCACGCCTTGTTTCCTCTATTGACTCACCTCTGTCAGCGGTGCAGGTTTCTGCGGCACAGTCATTGCTTCTCTGGCCCCTACTCTCTGTTGACTCAGCTGATTTGGTCCTACCGACTCCCAGACAGACCGAGTTCATCTCACAGGCCTCCTGATGTATCCCACGAGGGTTGTTGTTGTTGTTGTCGTGTGTGTCTGTATGCGTGTGTGTGTCTGTGTGTGTGTCTGTGTGTGTGTCTGTGTGTATGTATGTATGCATGTGTGTGTGTATGTATGTATGTGTGTGTGTCTGTGTCTGTGTGTGTATGTATGCATGTGTGTGTATGTATGTGTGTGTCTGTGTGTATGTATGTGTGTGTGTCTGTGTGTATGTATGTATGCATGTGTGTGTGTATGTATGTATGTGTGTGTGTCTGTGTCTGTGTGTGTATGTATGCATGTGTGTGTATGTATGTGTGTGTCTGTGTGTGTGTATGTATGTATGTGTGTCTGTGTGTATGTATGTGTGTGTATCTGTGTGTATGTATGTATGCGTGTGTGTGTGTGTGTGTGTGTGTGTGTGTGTGTGTATGTACGCATGTGTGTGTGTTCAGATCAGTGGACTATGCTCCAGCACATGGGATCCCTGGACCCTGTCTGCCTCATCTCACCTGTGCAGCACATGAACCTCCTCCGTGGTGTCCTGTATCTCAGCTCCTTCCCAGTCCTCCATGGCTTGTTGGAGAGATCCGCTGTTGGCCCAGGTCTCACGATCCTCTCTCCTCTGGCACTATCCGTTTCCTGTGGCTGACCTACGCATGTGCGGCAAATATGGAGATGGCTGCCCCTCTTTTCTTGCCTTGTCCCATGGCTCCCAGAAGCTTAACTCTGGGCTCTGTCCTCCTAGGAGTTGCAGCCCAGTTGTCACAAAGGTTTGAATGTCACCTCAGCCATCTCTTCACAGACTAAGAACAGGATTGAAACTGGGTGGCACAGGCACTCCCTGAAGTTCCCCTTTCTTGAGGGGCTTCTGTGTCAGGGGGTGAGGGAGCCCAGATCTGGCTGAAGCTGCTTCACGTGGATGGGCGGGGGTGGATGAAGTGGTACCCTGAGACCCAGGGGAGAAAGCAGGAAGTCTGGCCATCGTCCGCTGCTGTGCTCGCAGCCTCCTTGGGTTCCCTGGCTGGAGGAGATTGCTCTCTCTGTCTTCACCACCTCTCTGGAGAGGAAGGCTTTTTATTCAGATTGAAGCCCAAACGTGGTGGCAATGCCTCCCTGTCCTCTTCACCAGACAGTGCTTTCTTAGGGGAACCCAAGCCAGTCTATGGCTTAGAGAACAGAACAGAGCTGACCATATGTGGGTAGAGCAGACTGTAAACCAAATGTTGTATGAAGGAGTTAGAGATCTGAGCTCACACTATAGGCTACAAAACAAAGAAACCAAAAAACATGTGCTGGTGGCCGAGAGGGGCCACCTGGTTATGTCCAGATGAGTCACTCAACCTTGCTGAGCAGACCCAGGATGAGTCATGCTGGAGGGTGGTCTGACCCATCTCCATTTCTCCTCGCCAACTCCTGAGCTCCTAAGGGGAGAGCATCTATCTTCGTCATCACCCCACAGTCCAGGGATGCTCTCTTGATCCCCCTGACCCCTAAGATCACAGCATGGTGGTAGCCAAGAGCCAGGAGGTCCGGTTCATCTGGTTTATGGCTGACATGGAGGTGCACATGGCTCAGATGCAGGTCTCAGAAGAGCAACATAACAACGCCTTCCATGTGGTCAGCGTCCTCCCCATCCTGCACCAAGACTGGCTGAGCGGCAAGGGTTTCAAATACAAGGTCAACAGTGGGCCCTTCCCAGTCCCCACTGAGAAAACCATCTCTAAAGTTAAAGGTGGGATCTAGAGGGAACTGGACTCTATGGGGCTGTCATGGGCAGGGAGGGGTACTGTGCCTTGGTTCTTTCTGAGGTAATATCACACACCTATGTGCCTAGGCCAATGGCTGTGGGGTCTAGTTAGTATCCAAGTCCATATCATAAGACTCAGAGCATTTGTGTATATCTGGACTGGTCTGAGGTGATTCTCCCAATAGAGGAAGAGGTTTGTTCCAAAGGGGCCTTCTCCCAGGCTCTGCCTACATCCAGATGAAGTGCTATGCTGGACTGGGACACCCCTAAGTAATCTCCCAAGAGAAGGAGCACAAGGGATGCACAAATCCCGACTCTTTCCATCTGTCCTTGTCCTTTCTTTCTGGCCAGTGGTGTCTCTGCGACACTGTGCAGAGCCTATTTGGACAACAAACCGTTAAGCCCAGTGCATTCAGCACAGCCCGCTCTGTGCTACATGGGGACAGGGCTGCCTATGTGTGTGGATGCTGCCTATCTACCAGGCACTCATTTTTTTGTGCCCCAAAGGGATTGAGGCCAGTGAATCAGGTAGGCTAACTACAGATCTTCGCCTTGTTACAAGGAACCCACCAGAGATGACCACTCAGACACGGTTTATAGCTTATTAAAAGTCTTTATTCCAGACTGGTGGGACTACACTCAGATTATTTGGGACCTAAGTATAGCCTTGAGAATTTAGAGCAAGAGACATTTATCTATCTATCTATCTATCTATCTATCTATCTATCTATCTCCTTTTTTTGGTTTTTATGAGACAGGGTTTCTCTGTATTGTTTTGGAGGCTATAAGTCCAGCCCTGCCTTGATCCGCCTGCCTCTACCTCCCGAGTGCTGGGATTAAAGGCGTGCACCACCACTGCCGGGCCTCTATATATCTCTTTACCGAGTTTTTTCTTTTATTTTAATTCTTCTCTCATACATTACATCTGGACAGCAGCTTCTCCTCCCTCCCCCCACCCGTCTTTTCTCCCAATCTCCCCTCTCTCTTATATTCACCTACTCTACACCTCTCCCTAGGAAAGAGCAGGCATGCCAGGGGCATCAACCAAACAGTATAACAAGCTACAATAAGACCAGTCACATACCATCATATCAAAGCTGGATGAGGCAGCCTAGTAAGAGGAAAAGGGTTCCACAAGCAAGCAAAAGAATCAGAGACAGCCCCTATTCCCACTGTTAGTAATCCCACAAGGACAGCAAGCTACTCATCCATAGCACATATGCAGAAGGCTATGGCCAGACCCTACAGTCTCCCTGATCTCTGCAAGCCCCATGAGTCCTGGTCAGTTGATTCCATGGGCCGTAGTCTCACAGCATCCCTGAATCCTCTAATTCCTCCCTCTAATTCCTTCCTCCCACTCATCCGCAGGACTCCCCAACTCTTTGTAATGCTTAGCTGTGGGACTCTGTATCTGCTCCCATCAGTTGCTGGATGAAGTCTCTCTGGTCTCTTTGGTGAGGACTGCTTCAGCTCCAGTCCCCGAATACTCTACTGGCAGGACAAACTGGCTTGGTGTCCCAATCACTCCACTTGAGGCTTTGCCTTGTCATGGAAGATGGCCTATTCAGACTCTGTGTGTCCCATTACCACCAGTCTTTGCTAGGGTTATTCTTGTAGATTCCATGGAGTTTTCATTGTACTAGGTTTCCACATCTCCCACCAAATGTCCCCCAATTCTATTTATTTCTCCCAGTATTTTCTCCCTCCCCTCCATCCCTCCTGTTCCAAACCCCACCTTTTCCAGTCAACTTGTGAAATTATTCTATTTTCCCTTCCCAGGGAGAGCCTTGTGTCCCCCCTTAAGTCCTCTTGTTACTTAGCCTCTCTGGGTCTGTGGACCATAGCATGGCTATTCTTTATTTTATAGCTAATATCCACTTATAAGTGAATAATACCATGTTTGTCTTTCTGGGTCTGGGGTACATCACTCAGGATGATTTTTTCCCCTAGTTCCAACCATTTGCTGGCAAATTTCTTGACATCGTTGCTTTTTGCAGCTGAGTTAAATACTCTATTGTGTAAATGAACCACATTCTCTTTATCCAATCTTTGATATTTATCTTTTGTATTCTCTTTATCTAATCTTAAGGTTGTGTGGTGGCCTGAAAGAAAATGACCACCAAAGGGAGTAGCCTTGTTGGAGTAGGTGTGGTCTTGTTGGAGGAAATTTGTCACCACGGAGGTGGGCTTTGAAGTCTCGTATATGCTCAAGATACCACCCAGTGTCTCAGACCACTTCCTGTTGCCTTGGGATCAAGATGTAGAGTTCTCAGTTGCCTTGCTTCCTGCCGTGACTGAACTGTAAGCGAGTTATTGTAGGACAGCTGTACACAGTGTTGCTTTGACTGGTGCAATAAACAGCCAAAGGCCAGCACTACGCAGGAGAGACAGGTAGAAATTCTGAGAGGAAGAGGAGATAACTGAGGTGCATGAGAGAGGCCAGTCAGACACCGAACTAGTCGCACATACAGAATGGAGGTAAAAGCCACATGGTGATTGGAGATTAATGAAAATGTGCATTAACTTGTAAGAGCTAGTTAAAAGCAAGCCTAAGCTAAAGGCTAAGCTTTCATGAATAATAGTAAGTTTCTGTGTCATTATTTGGGAGTTGACTGGCAGGACAGAGAAAGACTTGTTATATATGGTAACCAACATGGGTCTTGAATATCTGAACACAGGGCCCGAGAAAGCTAAGCAAAGTTCTGGGCAAGGAGCCAGATACGGCTTCCTAGTCCTATGGTCTCTCAGGTAGGCAAGTTCTTAGCATACAGGGAGGGACATGTTACGGACTGCTGCCTGTGAGCTGGAGCCAGCCACCAGTGCCATGTGCCAGTGCCTTGCACTAAGCCAAGCTGTGTGGTGGCTGACTTGGCCACTTAGGATTTGTCTCACGCAGACAGAGAACACTGAAGGTACTCAGATAAGTCAGGTCTAGACACAGAAACCAACTAAAAATGTACTGTATGTTTAACAATGTGCTTAGAGGCTAAGAAAAAAAAGAAAATGGGTATGGATGGTCATAGAAAAGAATAAATAGTTTAAAAATAATAAAGTCTTTAAAGAAAGTGTAAAGTAATATAAGAATAGGCCACATAAAGATTGGAAATGTGTAGGGTATCTGGATCCTAGATGGTGCTTTGTTGACTTTGAATTTTTTAAATGCTAATGTAAAAAATCAATAGCTGCTAAGAGGCATTGGATTATGGAAACTGATGAATTAAAATGACCTACATATCTTGGGAATGTCTTAACTTCAAAATGGAAATTAGAAAATTTGTTGCACTGGGGGAGAGGTCATGCCTTTGTTTCTACAGGAAGCAAAAAGTAATGGTTCTCTTCAAAATTGATGAATATCAGATTTGATTGGGGAAGACTTCATGAAAATCTTGCCTACAGGCATGAATAAAGAAACCAAGGAAAACTACAGGAGAGGTGATATATATGTTGATCCCTCTACATGAGAACAGCTCTGAGACTGAATAAGACATGATAAATTTTGTTGGCTACTAGGTCCTCATGACTTATTATTACATTCCATCCTTTTATATGGCATGGACAGAGGTTAATTTATACAGTGCAAACAAACTTATAAAGTTAACAGGTGCCTTTTACCTGCTGAAACATAAAACAAGAAAATATCATCTTTAACTGGCTTGTGTATACCATATAGTCCATATATATGTATATAATATATAATATATAATTATATATGTATATAATATATAACGCATATATATGTATATATACACACATATATGCATAATATATATATATATATATATATACATATAATGCTAAAAGTTTATGTGTTTTTGGGAAAAAGGACCAGAGATCAATGAAGACAAGTAGCCCAGGTGATCCAGCTTCTCAGAATGTCTCTGTTGCAGTTTCATTAAAATTCTGAATCCAGAACAAGTTCAAAGCTGCTACCTGAGATGGTCCAGTCT